GAACGTATACCCGTCACCTTTAACCCATATGTAAGATCTATATATGACAAGATCGCCAAGAAGCGCCAAATCAGTATTGCTTACAGGAGGTGCCCTACTATTTTTAACATCCTAAGGAATGGGAAGGACCCTCCTAACCCCAGCAGAAGACCGGGGGTCTATAGTGTCCCTTTGAGAGATAACAGATTCGACAGGGACTTAATATATATAGGCTCTACTAAAAGATCCATAGGTGTCAGAATACAGGAGCATAAGGCAGACATTCGTCACGGGAGAACCAGCACGGCCCTCGCTACATACGCAACAGACCCGGGCATAGTTGCTGACTTTAATAGGACCAATCTCCTCCTCGGTGCGCCTCCCAATGAACATCTCAAGTGGTTAGAGGCGATGCACATCTTTAAATCCTCTATCGAAACCACGTGCATAAATTTTAAAGAGGAGATGATCTTGTCGATGGCCTGGCAAGAGTTGATACATAACACGCTTTAACTGCTCGTTATTTCCGAGCAAGCGGACATGTCACGCATGCGTGACGGATAATTTAAAAGAAATGTTCGATCTTAAGAAAGAAATTATTTAAACAACATTCGTTAATGTCTTTCGTTGACGGCAGTCGTTAGTTTGAACGGCATGCGCGACACATCTTTTAAAAAAGAACTGTTCGATCGCAAGAACGAAGTTATTTGAAATATCGAATTTACGAGCTAAAATCTAAAGGAACCTGAGGAAGAACCTAGAAGAGGTTTGAAAACGTTTGTTTTTTGTTCGTCGATCATACCACACATTATATTGGTTCAGTGTACGTGTTTGAAATCCATAAGTAATATAAGATGGGAGAGCGGAATAAAAATATCAAATATTTTAATGGATTTTTTTAAACTCCTATACAGAACTATTATAAAAACATACCAGTAAATTCTTATCGGTTGGGTTAAGTTATAAATCTACTTGTGATTCATATAATTGGGCGAGGGTGGCCAAATATCTAGCAGGCAGGCAGCAACAGCCCAGAACCGGTCTTGGATAGAATCGTTGGAAGCGTTATACGTGTGTAGCTTTTACCAGCTAAACTGGGTGAGGTTGGTGCTCTGTAAAGCATGTGTGCAAATGAGTATAATCTGGCTGTTTGGAAGCTGACAATACAGTGCTTCCATTTCGCCACTAATATTTGAATATACAATAGCAATCTTATCATTTTTTTTCACATATAGTATAGAAATTTGTAATAAGATACATAATGTGGTTATAATAAAATATTAATTTTATTTATATGAAAATAATTGCATAATATGTATTTATTTTTTAGAAAATACAAGGGAAGCGGTGCTTCCACTGCTTCCAATGATGGCACGCCACTGGAATACATTTATTTATTTAAAGTACATTTAATTGTTTGATAGTATTAATATGAACCTAACTGTTTTTTGAATATATTATCATCAATAATTTATGTTGTAAATTTATTAGTCAATATCAATTAATATTTAATATATTTGACAGTCAAATCGACGGTGTTGCACCGACATTCGCTAAAAAACCTTCTATTAGACAAGAAGACGAAGGAAAACGTTTATTATTCGAATGCCGAATTTTAGCCGAACCTAAACCCTCAATTTCATGGTACCATGATGGTACTTTGGTTGAAACGAAAGGAAGATTTAAGGTAAGTTCAAGTTACATAAACGAAAAGTTCAGTAATGAAAGTTTGTCATATATACTACAGTGGGTGATCGGTTAATGAACATAATCCGTTCTAAGACTGTGTTCACTACCCGAATTGTTTGTTAACTGATTATCGATTTACCATAGATTTTTATGGGAATTTGATTAATTTAATAAAACATAAAACCATTTAAATGTCCAGCACAATTCTTTAATATCGCATTAAGCATCCATCATCAGTTATTTAATATCATAAAAACGTTTTCAAACACATTAAGCATTCATCATTAGTTATGGAAATCTAATATAATAGATTCTCAGAACAATAGATGATTTTTGGTGGCTCGAGTGATCCGTTAAAATGAGATTCTACTGTATCTCTCTCTTAGTTTATGATTCTTTACAACATATTGTATTTACAGTAGAGCGTCATTTATTCGAATCAATTGGGGACTGAGGTTGTTCGGATAACTTATTTTTCAGATAACCGATTTTGTATGAAAAAATATATTAACCTATCCCATGTTGAAATTTTTTTCCGTTGCATGTCTATTCATGTTGAATTTTCGTCAATGTTAAGACTAATGTAAACTTTTTAAAATAATAATTGTGGCTATTGTATCATTAAAAATTATTTCTTTATTTTTTACAAACAAAATAAATACATTGAAAAATATAAAAACCAAAAATATATACTTTAGAAGTTGATCTATTATCAAAAACGTTTGATTCAGCACGACACACAGTCCTCAGAAAAACACCACACAAAAGTGCCAGTGCTGCCAGCTAAAACACACACACCAACAAAAAAATATTGGAGTAGCCCAAGATATAGCCAAAGATTGCAGCACCACAGCACTAGCAAAAATTTAAATTTGCCAACTGGAATGCTTTCGGTTAACTGATCTTTCAGATAACAGGCTTTCGGATAAACGACACTCTACTGTACTTGAATATAAGAGTCCACATTCGATCCAATACAATCATTTAATTTTCAGTTGCACTCTGCAATTGGATCTAATCTTTCTAAATGCAACCATCCTCATTATTGTTTAAGCGTCAGAAATGCAATATTTTTTAAAAGAGTGTTGCACAACTTTTTTGAGATTTTCTTCCAAACACTTATGACATTACTGTAATAGAATAATGAGGTTGAACTAAGGTGACCTCTTAAATATTTACTACTAGCTGTTACCCGCAACTTTGCCCATGCGGATTTTGCAAGCGAACACCATTTATATACAGTATTTCAACAACCATAGTAATTGTTATATAACACCTACTGCTGAGAATCAAACGAACTGTTTTCAATTTGACCAATTTTCTGGAATGTTTACAATCGTTCTATAATCAAACCAGTATGCAATAACAAATTCGAATTTAAAACAGTTCGAACATTTGATTAAAATATCAAAATAAATATAAATATTTATAACAATGTCTGAAATGTTGTCAATTTAATACACCTAAGTACTCAATGAAACTAAACGCAGTTAAAAACAAAAAATTGCATCTAAAATAGTACAGTAGAAGCCTTTCTTCTGGTTAAGCCTTAATGCTCTCCCTTTCCCCTTCTGCGGGGGAATTTTGAAAAATCCCTTCTTAGTGTGCGTTTCCATGACATACTCTGTGTACCAAATTTCACCTTTAGGTTTTGCGGTTTGCCCTGGGTGATGATGAATCAATCAGTCAGTCAGTCAGGGCAAGTAATTTTATATATTTAGATTATGAATATTGGTCAAATAAAATCATTAAAATTATGAAATGGATTTAGTTATAGAGAAATAATACATGACACTAGAAGTCTATAATCATAATGTATTAAATCAAATCTAAGATGCATTCTATTGGGTTGTTCAGAAAGTAAGTTCGTTTTTTTTTTCGTGGAAAAAAACACAATATTTTTATAATAAATAAATATTTTATTGAATTATATATCGACCATTTTGGTCAAATACCTGTTGTCATCGTTTCTGGTAGTAGCATGATTTCACATTCATAAAAGTTTTGATCGTTGCTTACAAAAAAGTGATCCAAGTGATTTTTGACATTGTCATTTCAAGTAAATGTCTTACAGTTAAAAAAAATTTTTATAGACCGGAACAAGTAATAATCTGAGTGTGCTCGATCTGGCGAATATGGTTGGTGTGATAGCACATCCCATCTAAGTTATGGCAGTTTCTGACGAGTTACCAAACTTGTGTGAAATTTGACATTATCGTGGTAAAACACTACACCTGTTTTGTTGATCAATGCTGGCCTCCTTTTCTGTTTGATGATATTACTCAATTTGTTTACTCGATGGCAGTACACTTTCGAATCAATTGTTAAATTGTCTGGTAAAAGCTCCAAAAAAAATTTCCTTAAAATCCCACCAAAGAGAGCATCCCTCTTTAAGAACATGTGGAACCCATATATCAAGCTTTGAAACGAAACCAATTTGTTTCAAATAATCATAAACAGTTCAATTTGACAAATTTCATCTCTTAGTGATTTCACATGTTGTTATTTGGCAGTTTGCTTCAATCAGTACCTTTATTTTGTTTTCATTGGCTTCAACTGGCCATCCAGAACGTGGTGCATCTTCAATATTGAAATTGCCAGAACGAAATTTTGTAAACCAGTTTTGGCACTGTCATTCTGTCAAAACATCTTCTCCATACATGTCACACAAATTTTTTCTCACTTGAACAACATTCTTACCTTTTCGGTAATAAAAGAGCAAAATATGCCAAAAATGCTGCTTTCGATCTTCCATATTTGATGGGACACAAAAAATAAACAATTGCACAAAATCAAACAAAATTTTTTACAAGTAAGCCTTAAAATGCTAGCTGTCAAAATATATAATGATAATACGGTTTAGAATGAAAATGGCGGGAAAAATATGACTAATCTGTCTAGTGATAAAAAGAATGAACTTACTTTCTGAACAACCTAATATTTTCAGAGATACTAAAAACTGAAAAAGTGTATCTTACATTCAAGTAAATATGGTAAATAAGAGTTATTAAAATCGGAAAGGGAAACTTGAGAAATGTTCCTTGTGTTCAAAGATCAGAACTAATATTTTGATAAAGTATAACATATTAAAATAAAATTTTCAGTAAAATGTACTTTTGTAATTGCAGGTATTGATATGATAATAGATTATACCAAATTTGTTAAATATAATATAGCTTATTTAACTCTTACAGACCTAGAAACCATAATGTTATTTCATTAAAATATCATAGTGACTTTTAGTAAAATATGTAGTATTATGTACTTTTTCAACATATTAATTAATTGCAATCAAAATGAGCAAATATGTAAATCAATGTTTTGTTAAAAATGTAAAAAAAGGGCAAAAAATTTTTACAGTATATTTGACAGAGCATTAGTGAAGCCTCTTCTAATATGACTTACAGAATTGTGTTTGTTCTCAAAATCTTGATTGATTTCAATTAAACTTTGCCATTTACCATTAATTGCAATGAGGAATCCAAAAGTGTAATAAAAAATTGGGGTCTATTACTTCATTTTTGAGATATAAGGTCATAGGATGAGCATGCATGACAAAGCAATATTACATAAATTGCACAACGTATTACAACATTGTACAATTACAATGTATTGAAGATATAGTGGTAAAACATGGCTACAGAAGAGATCTGGTACATGGTTTAGCCCGCGTCTACACCAACCAATTTGCCACACACAATGGTCCCAACACCCAGTCTGCTGCTAACAGAAATGAACAACACATCACAGGCTCCAGGTACACCACAGTACAGTTCAATCAACATTTGAAATCCTTATACAAAGAGATTGCAGGCTAGAGTGGTACAGAAATTGCATACAAGAGATCTGATACAATATACAAGTTGCTACACAATGCAAAAGATAAAATGGATCAAACCAGAGCCCCAGTTTACCTACTATTTACAGTTTACCCAGTTTACCACTCTATACCTCTAAGAGACAATAGATTCCAAAGGGACTTAGTCTATATTGGCTCAACCAAACAATCAATACATAAAAGGGTATGTGAACATCAGTACAACCTTGAGAACAACAGGCATACCACTGCTTTGTCCATGTATGCCACCCATCTGGAAGTACATGTGGACCTCCAGAACACCAAGTTAATCAAGCATGCCTTTCAATCAGATCATATTCATAGCTTGGAGGCATTGGAAATAAAGCCAGTCTAACCGGCAATTGTATTAACTTTAAGGACTGCAATACAGTGGTGCATGCATGGAAGTAAGTGTATGAAAGAGTTGAGCAAAGTTAACCCAAAATAATTTCATCTTATACAATATGTACAGCTTAAAAATTTGTATGGATCACATGATCACACTTTTACAGTTTTAGTCAATCAACTGTATAAATTAGCCTTATGTGATGAGATATTCAAAATTTTAAAAACTCGATTTTCGAACATTATCGTTCTGATATTCAACTTAGGAATTCGGTTTTGTTAAAAACCTGAGGCAGGCCTTGGTGAAGGCTGAAAACGTTTGAAATTTTCATTGAAGTTCTGTTACTGGATAAAAGGTTTTGTTTGTATTTAATTAATTACTCCAGTAATTTGTGAAGAACATAGTTACAATTATTTATTCAAAAATAAATACCATCACTGTTACAAAATAGTAGTTATATTTAAAAAAATACTTGGAAAAATAAATATGTATATTACAATTCTAGTTTTAACTAAAAATATAAATGAAATACTACAAAAATTACACTTCGTATGGTATATAATTTTTGTAATGTTTGCAGTGTTTTAAGAAATATTTAATTATTCCAATTCCATTTTGAAATACAATGGATGCACTTTTGAATTTTTCAAATTAAAAAAATTTAGAATAAATTTTATACACACAGAAGCCATCCAAAAATAACTGGCATGGACTGGCTTGCATTTACTTTTATAATATTTTTATTTTATCAAATCAAATGTCAATTCTTACAAATACAAAATATAAATCGACACAGAGGAACCTTGAATTACTTCCAGTAAGCATTTATAATTAATATTTTGATTTTCTTAGATCTTCATCAGGTCAGAGAGTTCTAAAATGGAATATAAGAAAGGAACATAAGATAATTTTTAAAAGTTTGAAAATGTTCCTAATACATAAATAAGGATATTGTATAATTCTTCAGTGAATTAGGATGGGAACTGTTTGATCACCTCTCTTACAGACCTGACCTTGTACTCAGTGACTTACCTGTTCTTGCATTTGTGTTGAGACACAAGTGCAGGAATGTTATGCAGGGGGCATAAAGAAGCTTGTTTCTCACAGTACCAAAAATACTTGGTAAAAAATAGTGACTACATAGAAAAAGGAAGGGATACATATGTATTTGTAACCAATAATAAACTTTTAGCAAAGTGTTTCTATTGTTTTTATAACCATTTGGCCTTTTTTTGGAATACACCTCATAGTATATTATAAATTATTAAAATTTACTTAGTTACAGATTGCCCTAAATATTAATTTTATATAACATTTATCAGCAAATTTTTGAAAATTATTTTTGCAGTATAAAATGCATTTAGTTATTTTATACTTTAAAAATTTAATAAATCTATTGTTTAATTTTTTAGAATATTGTACAAAAAGATGGAAATGCATTTCATTCTATTTTGCAAATAGAAGATGTAACAATTGAAGATGCTGGAAAGTATCAAGTGACAGCAAAAAATGAATTAGGAGAAAGCAATGCAACTATAAGTCTTAATTTTGATTGTGAGTATTAAAACTTAAATACAGTGGTGCCTTGTACTTTGAATTTTATTCATTCCAGGTTGCTGTTTGAACTCTGAATCATTTGAATTCACTTTCTATTATTTCTAATGGATAAAACTGGTTTGGTTTTATCCATTAAGTGAATTAATCCATTCTCAGACCTTAAACAACACCAGAGAATAAATTTACACCTTCAAAATCAACTACAGAAAATAGTTTAATGAAACAAGAATGTTTTTCAATGTAATTTGAAGGGTCTTCATCAGTTGAGTGTTACAAAATAGAATGTGTTTGAATAAACAGAACATTCAATAAATACCAATAGAATAGAACAAAATATAAAATTTAAATTCAAAATATATTTATTTTGAATATTGTTAATTTATATTTAAATTAACAAGGTAATATAATTTAAAAATTAATAACAAATATTTAACAAAATGAAGTAAATAACAAAATATAATAATAATAATAAAATAATAATGTAGAAGTGTCCCATTAAAGGAAGTCAAGTTAGTGCTTATACAGAAACCTCTATGCAGTAGATAATGAGTTTGCATCCCTGTAATTAATGCAGGTGGAAGTTCTATTGACTTTATATATTTCTTAGGACTCTTAATGCCTAAATGTGTTGATGTCCTTAGTTGGTCTGATGAATATAGTGTCTTCTCACTTAACCTGTACTTTTTTGTTGGTTAGCTTATGCTACCCAACAAAAAAGTACAGGTTAAATGAGAAGACAGCTATCCCTGCATTAATTACAGGGATACAGAAATGCAAACTTGCTATTTACCACATGGAGGTGTCTGTATAAGCTCTAGCTTGACTTCCTTTAATGGGGAACTTCTACATTATTATTTTATTGTTATTGGGCTGCAATTTGAAAAAAATTTTAGACCTATAAATTCCCACTGTTATCCGTCCATCTGTTTGTCTGTCTTTTCTTAATTTTGAGAACAGAATTAGATAAATGAAATCCAAGACCAGATATGGAAACCTTAGGGACAGGAGGCCCCGATAACTATATACAAACTTGCAATGCAAACCAGAAGTCATGTTATTTCAATTCAAAATTTCTCCCTGGAAGGTGTTAGATGACTGGCACGACTCTATTGTTAAAGGAAAAGTATGATGTACAGGGGTAAGCCACTACTTATTTTAGGTGGAGAGGATATAATTTAAATTAAATAAATTAAAAATATGATTAAAACTTGCAGCTCGGCATTGTGATGATGTCAGAATAAATAATTGCTCATTCTTATTTTATTTTGTTAAATATTTGTTATTATTTTTTATGTTATCTTATTTTTGTTAATTTATATTTTATTTCTGTTGTACTTAAATTTTGTATTTTGTTCTATTATGGAATGATGAAGGCCTATCAAATTAGGTTGAAAATAATGTATTTGTTTCATTAAACTTTTTGCTGGAGTTGATTTTTAAAGTGTGAATTTATTCTCTGACATTCTCTACAGTTTTTTATTTTGCTATGTTACTAAGCAATACCCATTTCAATAAACTTAAATAGCAAATATAAATAATTTAAGGTAAAAATAAAACAATTAAATACTCTAAATAATAAATTAAACATGAAAAAATAAATAAAATATGTAAATAGTATATAATAAAATAAAAATTGCATTTATGGTACTTTAGTGAGGACTGGTGATGTTCTGTTACTATGCACCTTCTTGGCTGTCTCATAAATAATCCTTTCAGAAATGATATTACCAGCCAGTTGCTTCTCATTTATTCATACTAATAGGAGTTTTTCCAACTTCTCAATAACATGCAATCTCCTGGAGATCAACACTATGACACCTTTAACTACATTTGCTGCTTTTATTACTTTCTTGTTCTTAAGAATAGTGCACACCATCGACTTCAGCATCTTAAATACAATTATCAAATTTGCCACATATGTACCTTTGTGATAAGATCCCTTTTCACCTCAATCATTGATACTACAATCTTCCTCTTAGGTTTCATTGCTTCCAACTTGGATGCCATGGTTAATAGCTATGGGTTATATATATTGATATAACAAAACACACCAAAAATAAAGTGAATAAAGCACTGAACACATACATACAAGCATAATACAAGAGTTGTTTCACAGTGAGAGTGAGAGGCAACTTGGGGGCACAACAGTTAGCATTTATGCAGTGTGTTGCGGTCGCGAACTTCTTCTTGTCGCGAACTAATAGTCAACATTTCTGTAAGGCGGTAAATTGCCCGGAGCGTTAGCCGATGAACTACTTCTGGACTAGCTGCCGAGACGACCAGTCGACCCTACGCTACGTTCCACGAACTGTGATACCGCTCGTTAAAAAAAACATTGTAAGATGGAGTTAGAATTTAATCTGCTAGTTAATAAAAGTGTCATGTTTTTTACGTTATGTCGGTCGATTTACTTTAATCGGTAAGTTGGGATCAACCTNCATTCAAAGTTAGAGTTGTTTGAAGTATGATGTACCACTGTATTTAAATTTATAAGAAACTTTTTAGAAAATATTAGTCTGAAGCCAATAATTATTAATAAAAATTACTTATAGAAGAATGTAAATGATGATTATTATTAAATTACTATTACTGTAATATTTAACATTACATAGTATTCACACTCTTAAATATTTTTCCAACTTAATTATTTAAGTAAACAAATAAATTTTTATTCAATAATTTTACAATTACAATTATAGATATACCACAAGATTAAATGTTTTTTTATTGTTGGAACTTTAATATTACTCATTACAGTAATTTTATGGGAAAATATTGAGTTTTTATTGTTTGAATATTTTGTAATCATAAATTTTAGGTTTATAACTCTTAAAATATCTTTTAGCCGATGAAACCTCTGTTCCTTCTGAAGGAGCCAAACCAACTTTTACTGAAAAACCTATCATCCGACAAGCAGATGATGGCAATAAAATTATATTTGAATGCAGGCTTATTGCTGACCCAAAACCTACATTGCAATGGTGGGTTTATAAATGTGTTAAATGACTATATTTTATGATGACAATGCAATATTTTATTGATTTTAGAAATATTAATGTATACAGGTTACAAGCTGGAAAAGCTGTTAAAGATGGTGGAAGATATAAATATGTTTTAACTTCTGATAAACATAATCATACAGCAGCACTAGAAATATCAAAAGTAACTTCAACAGATGGTGGAGAATATAAAGTAGTTGCTACAAATAAACATGGAGAAGGGCAAGCTACGATAACTTTGAACTTTGAAGGTATGAAATAATTCAGTTTTTTCTTATTTCATGTAAACATTATAATCTTATATATGAATACTGTGAATATTTAAAATAATTTTTTCAGTAATTTAATAATACAATAATTGAATAAATTATCTTAATTAAATTATTAAATAATCTTCAGAAATGAAAAAAAAATCCTAAATTTTATGATACAGAGTGATTATAAATTGAAGCAGTGAAATCAAAAAGGAAATTTGTCAATGATTTTGGTTGGGGTATATGAATTATGACTATTGTTCATATATATATATACATGAACATTCATTTTCAGCAGTTTAAGTGACCCTGAAAATGAACAGTTGTCCTGCTTTTCACTAATGTTGTAGTAGTACTACTTGTTTGTACAAATACAACATCAGTGCAAAATGTTCAAATGATACAGGTGAATCAGCTCGGAAAGGTTCAGACAGTGAAATATGAGAGAGTGATAATAGCTCCAAATTCTCTATAGCATTTGCAGTCTAACTATTTTTATCACATCACAACTCAGCTTCAGTTCATTGAAGGAATCATAGGGATTTTATTAACAATGTTCTTCATATATTCTTACAGGAATAAATTAAATACTATAATATTAGGTGAGCATAGAGATAATGAAACTGATCCATCATGCCCAATCTAGTGCTTGGGAAAATGCATATTAAGAAATCCTTGGACAATGTATTTAATTGAAAAGAAACTCAGCTAGTTGATTTTTGTGGGCTTCAAGAAAGCACTTTCTTGATTCAGTCAACATTTTCCTGCAAAGGAGCAGAAAGATCAAACTTCTCCAGCAAAGTATTTGATCTTTCTGTTCATTTTTGGTGCTGAGCACTACTAGTCTTTTGAAATTGCTTTAACCTTGTCAGATAGCATTATCTGAAGGTGGGTCTTTTCCATACTGAGTTTTGTAACAATGTTGCATTATGATAACAGATTTTGTTTCAAAAAACTAAAATATGTACATTTTTTTCTCTAAACAATTGTCATTTTGAAGTATGACATCACATTATTCACAGACATCAATGTGGAAAGAACATTGTCAAATAAAATTTTTTGAGCTACACTTTCATATTCTGTAAGAAATGTTGTTTTGCTAAAAAAATTATAGGCTACAGGAACACCAGCAATGATTTAGAATCACTTTGTACTTTAAAACATTTAATTTTAAGTTATAACTGTAATCACTTATTTTTGGTAGGTTTAATGGGAAATTGTTACTTTCTTGTTATTTTATTGGATGGAAATCATACTTGGCAATAGGCATTGTTTTAATAATGTAAAGAATAAATAAAAACAGAACTTGAGATAATCCCCATCCTTTCAAATTTATTTATATTCTGCTCATATAAAGTTCTCCAATAATGCAGAATATAGATAAATTTAAATTACAATAAAGGTTTTTAAAACATTTTTTAAGTGCATTAATCTTTTTCTTTTAGCATTTTAACACATAACACAACATTTTGATAATATACTTAATAAAAAATCATATTTGAAAGAAATAAAAATATCAATTTTTTTAATCCAACATATCAGATTATAATTTTATCATCATATTAGATTTTATGTGTAAATAAGTTCATTAGTAAATAAAAATACCGAACGTCCGTCCTACACGTTTACACGTTTAAAACGTCTGCCTCAACCTCTCTATTATAATACAACAACAATATCCATTATCAATTGAAAAAATTAAGTTTCTGTATTAAAAAATTAGTTAAGAATCTGAAAAAGTGTATGATTATATTTGATTTTTGATACAATTGGAAAATTCTTTAACAGGAAGAGCTTAAAAAATTATTATACTAGAGAATAAAATTTTTCAATACATTTAAATTTATATAAAAATCTCATTTATATGTTATAAAAAATGTGAAATATAACAATTAATTTAATTATAAATAATCAAGCTTTTGATTTATTAAAATAATATAAAAAGTTATTAGTTTTTGTCTGTTATTAATCAATTTTGTTTAATAGGCTTCCAGGAAAAGCACCTAGATTTCCTAAAAAACCTACAATTAAGCAACAAGGCGATTCACTAGTGTTAGAATGTATTTTAGAAGCTAAACCATATCCTGAAATTACGTGGTATCATGGAAGCAAACAAATAAAAGATGGCAAACGCCATAAAGGAATAAAGAAAGAAATTGGAACAGATTTATATCAGCTATCTTTAGAAATTAGGGTATGCAGAATTTATGATTATCATACATATTTGGTGTAATATATTTCTATAAACAGAAATCAGTTTAAATTACTTATTGTTAAATTATATAAAAAGAATTACCTAGATTATATAAGTATAATTTTAATTTAAGAAATATAACATTATTTACTATTAATACTAAAATCAAATTTTATTTTGTTTCATTTTTAAATGATATATTTTTACTTGACAATTAATTTTCATCATTTTGCCAAAAAAGAAATAATATTTCTTTCTGCACTTACTTGATATAGACAAAATACTATGTTTTAAAATCAAATGAATTATATCAAAGTATCCTTAGTTTCATTTAATTTTAGTTAATTGTGATAATTAAACATTTGAAGATATTTAAATGATAATGATCAATTATTTTTTTCTTTTTAAGTTGAATTCTAAATATCATATGTAACAAATTTTTCATACTCTGAAATATATTTTCTAGTGTTTCATTGTAAAATTTTTTATATTGCTTTTTTTAATAACGAAATTACTACAATAATTTATATCTCTACTTATCTGTAAATTATTATTTGTATTTTTTAATATTGTAGCATATTAAATCCATCTGATGAACAAAGCAATAATAAATACAAATACATTGCGCTAATTTTGTATAGCTTTGCAGTTAATTTTTGAAATGTAACACTAATGTTTTTGATCCAAAAATTTTTCTGGTGTAATCCCAGTTCAAAAATCGAACTTGGATCGCACCAGAAAAATTTTTATAGAACACCTGAAGGTCGTAGGGTGAATAAAAAATGTTAGTGTTATGTTTCAAAAATTAACTGCAAAGCTGTATAAGGTTAGTGTGACATATTTGTGTAGCATATTATTAATGATGAACATTTAATAATTTATAGTACTTTATTGATATTGAAAATAAATGTTGAAATACATATAAATGTTGTTTTAGCTTTAGTTTAAATCTGTTACTCAAACAACTGGATTCTGTATTATTATCCAAAACCTTTATTTATCCATCAGCTTATTTCTTCAACATTTTTGGCTATCTTCATCAGCCATCTTTTGATTAAATGAACATCTGCTAAATAGAATATTATCAGCAAGAAAGTCTCATGGATCAGTTCCACTCATGGTTTGAAATTAATGTCATTTGATTTTTGTCATTCATATATAAAAATGTTTAGTTACATAAATTAATATAGGCTGTGATACAACTGAACAAACACAAATTCATAAAACAGAGGTTACAACATAATGAAATAAAGTCTAAACAATAAGTTCTTTCACATGGAAACACTGAGCTTATTCATCCTAATGTACCATTAGTACAGCATCTATCATGCACTTAGAAACCCATTGACATTTTAATGATTTATACAGTTGCCATGTACATGGTGTTTGTACATTTCAATAATTTCTACATACTTGCTGATGTTAGGGTCTCTAATGAATATGATCATATGGGTTTCATCCCACCATACTATGTTTTTTTCAGTATGCCAAATGCAGTAAGTATCATGGAGTTGCATTCCTTCTTGGTATCATATTGATGCTTCTTTACAGACTTGGTGGAAATGACTATCTTTAACTGGGATTGCATATACACCCACTTTATGTTTGGGGACCAAAAGGTTCTTGTCATTTTTCGTTGTGCTATATGGTAGGATTCTGTTTATAAGTGATCCTGAGTTAGTATCTCAGACATTAGGGTATCTGCTTGCACAATAGCAGGAGACAGTACATCATCTTTTTATATATGCATTGTGGTGTAGTGGTCATAGCTGTTGTTGGTATGCCCAGAGAAAAATGTTGGTATGCTACAATTAGTCTTAATTATATATATTGTACAATAAAACATGGTTGGTTGTGATCTTGATTCTTAGCAAGAATTACCATTTGAAATCACGAACACAAATGGAATCCTACAATATACAGCACAATAAGGAATACAAAAAACCATTTGTCTGCAAAGATGAAGTAGGTATGTACACAATCCCAGCTAAAGACAATCATTTCCACCAAGACTATATATACATAGGGCACATATCCAAGCACCTTAGTTCAAGAATAAAGTACCAATACAATACCAAGAAGGAATGAAACTCCATGATACTACATTCACCACACAGGAAAAACACATAGTGTGGTGGGATGAAGCCTTTATGATCAGAGCTATCAGAGACTCTGATATCAGCAAGTATGCAGAAATTATTGAAATGTACAAACATCTTGTATATTACAACAGTATGAATCATTGAAATGTCAACGGGCTTGACAGTGCATGGTAGATGTTGTACCACTAAGATGAATAAGCACTGATTTTTGCCATAAATATAATCATCTCATTCAAACTATTAAATCTAAAATTATGATAGATTTTATTTTGTTGTAACTTGTTTCATAGATTTGTTTGGTTGTATTATAGCCTATATTAATTTATGTAACTAAACATTTTTATATATGTATGACAAAAATTGAATGGCAATAATTTCAAACCATGAGTGGAACTGATTCATGAAACATTCTTGATGATAATGTTCTATTTGGTAGTTCTATTTAATGTTCTGTTTTAGATGTTTATTTAACTTAAAGATAGCTGATGAAGATAGCCAAAAATATTCATTAATGTGTGTTTAAATAAATAAGCTACTGGATAAATAAAGGCTTTAGTTTTAGTTGTTATATATACATAGTTTTGGTTTTAATTTTACTTTTTACTAAACTAATCTGTCCACAAAAATAATACTATGTAATGTATGTACAGTACATGTATTTTTTTTTTTTTTTTTTTTTTTTCCTTTAGGAAAATATATGAATCAGTGGTGACTTGCCTATAAAAACTATAGAGTTGCAGTTTTCCCAGAAGTATTTATTTGTAAAAAATATTTTTAAATATTTAGTAGTCACTTTGATCTATTTTTTTCAAATGTAATAAAATACAGCCTTCCAGGGATTGTCTGGCAATGAAAAAAAGCATTTTATGATATTCATTTACTGTATTGTTCTTTAGAATGACTTTATTTTTTGACAATCTTTTTTCAATGATGCTCTAAAAATTGAATTATAAGAAAAAGAACAATAAAATATACTACAAGAAATTTTAAAAAATTGTTACAGTAGAGTCTTGTACAACGCAGGGGATTCATTACGCATTGTAGGAAATCCCATTATCAAAACTTGCATTATCACACAATTTATGAAAGTTTAAACCTTGGCCTATAAGTTGAAAAACGTATACCTCTGATCGACAAAATTCGAGAGTGTTGCTTGCTTTATTTGCGCGTTGTACGGGACTCTACTGTATTTTCCTTCTTTGTTTTTCCTTCATAACTATAATGTTAATAACAATTAACAAAAATAATAACATTTTTTAAACAGGACCCAACAACTGNTGGCCTATAAGTTGAAAAACGTATACCTCTGATCGACAAAATTCGAGAGTGTTGCTTGCTTTATTTGCGCGTTGTACGGGACTCTACTGTATTTTCCTTCTTTGTTTTTCCTTCATAACTATAATGTTAATAACAATTAACAAAAATAATAACATTTTTTAAACAGGACCCAACAACTGAAGATGGTGGTAATTACAGATGTAATGCAGTTAATGATTTAGGAGAAAGCAATGCTAATATAACACTTAATTTGCAAGGTAACTATTTTAGATTTTCAATAATAATAAATTTTTTGGAAAAATATCTTTTTATTTGTCAATGATTACTTGTCAATATTTAGTGACTCAGTTTATTAATTGATATGTTGTTATAAATAAAACAATTTTACAATTAATATTTCTTTTATTTCATAAATATTCAAAGTAGAAAAAATCAAGCAGTATGCAAATTGAGAAGATATGACTCTGTATCTTGGAATCATATAATTCATGAAGTCATACCTTCTGATGCTAAAAATAATTCACTTTTATTAAAGATTAATTGAACAATGTATACTGGTTACTTATTCTTTATTTATTTAAATCAATGTTAAATTTTCAATTAAACCAAATTTATAAAGGGTAACTAAATTTAGAGTGAAAATTTAATTTGTTTTAAATTGTTTTGATGATTTGCTTGATGATTGTTTAACTTATTATTGAATTGTGGTGGTGTTTCAAAAAATAACACCTTTTAAATTTTAAAATTTCTCAGATAATACAGTTTATTCAAACTGAATACAGTGGTGCCTCGTACAACGTACTTAATCCGTTCCAGGTGCACATCCGTTAAGTGAAACGTCCGTTATACGAAACGCATTTTTCCGTAGAAATACATGTTAAAACATATAATTCGTTCCGCAGCATAAAATAACCGTACTGTACCATAAAAAAAAAATGAAAATGGAGCAGTCACCAATTATGCCAGGTAGTCAGATGATGTGAGGAGGAGGTGGAGAAACACTTTAATCACACATTCATACAGACACACACTTTTACATATTGCAGCAGATCTCTTTTTATTGTTTTTTAATTGGAGTCAGAGTCAGAAGAGGCTACTGGGGCTTGCAGGGTCAACTCCTCTTGTTCCATCCTTTGTTTTTTGGCAGCTGGCTTCTTGAAAAACATATCCAAGGTGGTCTGTTTCTCTCTCTTCTTCAACACCTGTCGGAAATGACGGGCAAGGGTGTCATTATAGAGATCGTTGATACTGTTGGCCTCAGCTATGTTTGGATAGTGAGTGTTGGTAAACTCCTGAACCTCTGCCCATTTGACAAGGAAGTCCTTGATGGCAGCAGTTGAAATTGGTTGATTGGATTGCTCCTCCTCCTCGTCAGATGAAGCTTCCCTTTGAGCTTCATCATGTTCTTGGGCCAAAAGTGCTTGGAGCTCCGCAGTTGTCAGCTCTTCTTGGTGTTCTTCAATGAGCTCCTCCACATCCTCCACCTCCACTTCCAATTCCAAATCTCGGGCCATCGAGATGATCTCCTGTACCACTTATGTATCCTCAGCTGGTTCTTCTTGGGTCCATTCAGGAACAAGCCTCTTCCAGGCTGAATTGAGGGTCTTCTGCGTGACTTCTCCCCAGGCCTTCTGGATGAGTCTGATTGCCACAAGAACATCAAACTTTTCTTTCCAGAACTTTCAGACAGTCATGTCTCCACAAAGCTGACATTCTTCAAACACCTTCATAAAGAGAGCTCTGGTGTACGGTTTTTTGAAGTTGGCAATGACTTGCTGATCCATTGGCTGAAGGATGGCAGTGGTGTTTGCTGGCAGATACTGCACCTTGATGAAAGGATAGCTTTCTTCCAGGATCTCCTCCTGGTCTTTTGGGTGACTAGGGGCATTGTTCAGTATCAGCAGGGCTTTGAGCGGCAGCTCTTTGTCCAGCAGGTATTTCTTTACAGCAGGAGCAAAGGTTTCCAGAATCCATTCCTTAAAGACAACCTGAGTCACCCAGGCTTTTTGGTTAGACTTCCAATGGACAGGCAGGTTGGACTTGACAATGCGGTTCTTCTTGAAAACCCTGGGATTTTCAGAATGGTAAACCAGCATGGGTTTGATCTTAAGGTCTCTGCTGGCATTGGCTGCAAACAGGAGTGTCAGCCCCTTCCTTCATGGGCTTTTGTCCAGGCAAAGTCTTTTCCTCCTTGGTAATGAAGGTCCTGTTGGGCATCTTCTTCCAGAAAAGACCAGTTTCGTCAGCATTAAAAACTTGTTGCGGGCAGTATCCTTCATTCTTGAGAAATTGTTGAAAATCAACAGAGAACTTCTGTGCTTCTTCCTTGTCATTACTGCCAGCTTCACCATGCATGGTGATGCTATGAATTCCACACCTTTTCTTGAACCTAAAAAACCACCCCCTGCTGGCTTTAAACTCCTCTTCTTCATTGCCCCTGCTGCTGCTTGTTTCAGGAGTGTTTTTCTTCAACTTGTCATAGATGAGTTTGGCTTTTTGACAGATAACTTCTTGGGTAGAGATATCACCTCTCACCTGCCTGTCATTGATCCAAACCATCAACAGCCTTTCCATTTCGTCATGGAGTGAAGATCTATGCTTCACATGGAAGATCTTGGAGACTCCCTTGGCAACCTTGGCTGACTTGATGGTGTCTTTCTTACTTAAAATGGTGTTGATGGTGGTCTTGCTGAGACCAAACTCTTTGACAAGGTGACACTGTTTTGCCCCACTTTCACTCTTTCTGATGATTTCTTGCTTTGTTTCAATTGAAATCACCTTTCTATTTTTTTTAGAAGCCATGATGCATTATAAATGACTGAACATGCCAGATTATATGATACGAATAATTCTTTATTAATTAAGATCACTAAACACTTCTACGAGCTACTCTCGCTCCGTTTGTTTTTTACAACCTCTTTTCGTCCCGCCACCTCGGCATCTACACAATTACATTTCGTTTATTTGAATCGTCAACATATATTACATTACATTTAATGTTTATTTAAATCATCAACATATATTACATTACATTTCTACTTCAGATATACTAATAATACATTCTAATAATACTAATATATCCTAAAAATAGCAGATTGTCATTGGCAACGGCAAAAGAGTGGAAACATCATTCGTACTTGTTCGAAGAAAGTCCATTGTTCGTCTCACGTAACTGCCGAACGGAAAGTCCGTTGTTCGCAGCAGGTCCATTGCTCGAGTCATGTAACGGTCAAACAGAAAGTCCGTTATTCGAGGCGTACGTTATACGAGGCACCACTGTATATAAAATGAAATATAAATATAAATATAGACCTACTTTTTGTGTGAGAACCATAAACAGTTATGCACTTATCCCAGTTCTTTATGAGGTTGAAAGTACTAGTTTTCAAAAAATCTGCTCTTTGAGAGTTGAGCCATGGATTTCAGCTCTTTGTCTGTCTGAAATTTCTTCCTGCCAAGAAACTGTTTTTTGACCAATTAGTGATGGTCACTATGCACTAGGTCAGAACTGTAGAGTAGATATGGCAAAAGTTTCCAACCATAGGCTAAAATGATTTCTGCAAACTTTTGTGTTGCAGCCAGATCACTGTTCATTACATAGACTCATTTTCCCTTGTTTGAACATTTTGAACCATTGTGTCAAATTCATGTAATCTTCAGAATACACTTCATACAGTTTGGCATGAATTTGTGATAATTTTCATCCTTTCATTCAAAACCATCACACCACAGCTCTCTATTCTTCTATAATGGATGATGTGATAAGGGATTCTATTTTAAACCAACCTGTAAGATAAGAGTACCTGTTGAACAATGTTGTGGGAGGGAAAAAGACTATACTTTGTAGTCCTGCTATTTTTTTTTTTTTTCAAATTAAAATTAAAATGAATGCAATAGAAAAGCATCATTTATTATTATTTTTTGAAACATCATCACATTAATTTATTTTTAACTTATAAGAATTGATAAAATGCATATGGAATGTGCAAAATTGTTTTAGAATAATAGAAATAATAGCATAATTGTTTGTTTAATCATTTACTAATTTTATATATAGTTTAATATTTTATATATATGTTACTAGCATTCATATATAAATACTATTAACATTTACTTGTATAAATGTAAATATGTACACACACAAAGTAAAGAATTTATATTTGATATATAAAATAGGTGGCGAGCCAGAAAAAGAAGAAGGATTAGCACCAACATTTATTGATAAAGCAAAAATCATTCCAAAGGATGGTGGGAAGTTAATTGTAATGGAATGCCGAGTTAAGGCAGATCCAGCCCCTCAGGTCACGTGGTATCAAGCTACAAAAATTGTTAAAGAGACCAATCGGGTCCAAAGTCATGTTACTAAAAGTAAAACTGAAGAGTATACAATACAGTTAGAAATCAAAGTAAATAATATTTACATTTATTAAATTATTCATATGTTTATTGAATTACAGTAGAGCGTCATTTATCCGAAAGTCGGTTATCCGAAAGAATTCCAGTTGGTAAATTTAAATTTTCGCTAGTGCTGTGGCGCTGCATCTTTGCTATATCTTGGGCTACTCCAATATTTTTTTATTGATGTGTGTTTTTTAGCTGGCAGCACTGACACATTTGTGTGGTAGTTTTCTCAAAACTGTGTGTCGTGCTGAATCGAACATTTTTGATACTAGATTAACTTCCAAAGTATAATTTTTTTTGTTTTTATTTTTTTCAATATATTTATTTTGTTTGTACAAAATAAAGAAATAACTTTTAACGATACGATAGCCACGATTATTATTTTAAAAAGTTTACATTAGGCTTAACGTCGACGAAAATTCAACACGAAGTGACTCGCAATGGAGAAAAATTTCAACATGGGATAGGTTAATGTATTTTTTTGTACATAATCGGTTATCCGAAAAATAAGTTATCCAAACAACCCCAGTTCCCAATTGATTTGGATAAACGATGCTCTACTGTATTGTATTTGCTTTAAAGATAGAAGTTGTTAACTAATAATATTAAAATGTTAAAGCTGAAAGAATGAATTTCTGAAAAGTTGATACTTTTAAGAACGATAACAAAGATACAGCAATTTTATATTAAGACTATATTTCAAAATTATTAGAAATGCTGTTATAAAAGAATTTTACATTTAAATTAAATTAAACAAATTTAAATTTGTATAATTTTATGATGTAATTAATTTTATTTAAAATTAAAATTTGTTTTAAAAAATACTATTTCATTTACTTATTTAGTTATAATAAAGAAAATATTTTACTCAACAAACAATGTCATGGAGCCCCTGTAGTTAACTACAGAGACGAGTCTATCTATAATAACATTGTTGGGATAATATAACTTCTAAGTGCTAGAGAAAATATTTTATTTGTAATTAATATGTTACCATTAGAAAATTAGTAATATTTTTCAAAATTTTTTATTAATTTAAGAAAATTTTTCAGAAAAGACTTTTTACTAATATGATGGTAAAACTTAGAAAAGAATCTATGTAAAAGCAAAATATCTTTTATTTATAGTCCATAAATAATATGTCATGACATAGTGAATAAGCATACAATAATAAAAAAATAATAATAATAATTAAAGAAATAAATAAATATAAAAGTAAACAACAATGAATGATAAGTTATGACAATACTGATGTTCCTTTGGTTACTGAACTATCTTAGGTGTGAGAATATTCTATTAAAAAGAAGTAAAAAAAATTATTTTCTTTAAAATTTATCATACTTTAATAAGTGGAGACAATTGACATCTTAAATTTATCCTTAAATTTCATAAACCATATCTAAGCAAATAAAGAGGAAACATTAATTTTTATATAGATTTTCTTTTAAATATTACAAATGAATACTACAAGTAGATTTGAATTTACATAAAATTTTTAATTATATAAACGTTTTTCTTAATTTGTTTATTAAGAAGTGTGAATTTTCAAATTTTGGTAGGAAATCCTAAACTTTTTCATTATTTTTGTATTTCAGGATCCATCTAAAGATGATGGTGGAGCATATAAATGTATAATCAAAAACACTTTAGGTGAAATTACAGCAAATCTGAATCTTAATATAGAAGGTAAATTTATCTATAATTTATATATTATTTTTGTTTCACAATCATTAACATAATGTAAATTTAAAATTAATAACTTTAAATACATAATTTTCAAATGCTCAGACTGTTCATAATGATTTAATTATAATAAAGAAATATTTATATATAGTAGAACTTGGTTAAGATGTTCCCAAATTAGAAGTTTTTCCATGTAAGAAGTTTAATATCAAAAGAGTCAATTTTTTTCTCCATAAGAGATGTGTAAATTTTTTTGTTTAAGAAAATTTTTCACTTAAGTAGACAGAAATCCTCGTCTGTGACTGGAAAATGGATTTACTTAAGAAGTTTTTCAGCTGCATCCTATTAAAAATTTGGGATCATCCATAAATTATGTAACACTATTTTTGCATATTTGAACTGCAATTCCACACTCCTGTAGTGTTTCATAATGCTGTAGCACATATTTACACTCAAAATTATGTAATGAATAACCTTGATCAACTTCTTAAAGATTCACAGTTGATATTTGACAGCCAATCAAAAGCATACTTTTAACTTCAGAATGTTAAGTAGGCAGGAATCCAGCAAAATTAATTAAAAATCAGATAAGAAATAAATTATTAATTTAGTCTTTTTATTATTATAAAATTACAAATGTAGTTTAAAAAAACAAAATCATTTTTTACTTTCATGTTCATTTTTTGGTAAATTAGACAACAAAAATTATAACCAAATCCATCCAAGANTTAAAAAAAAAATAAATGAATTTTTTAAAATTAAACTTAACCAAACGGTACGTTATGTACATATTTAGAAAAAAACGGCCCAAATTGTATACGGCCCATGTGGAATTTTCCACATTTTCCACATGGCCAGTCTGCCCCTGATTATAGCCAATCTTACCCGTTTTCACAGAATGCAAGAATTAGGTCCCCTGTTTCCAGACTAATTAGAGAATTTTTACTTCCAGTCAAACGAACTATTTTCAATTTGATCAATTTTCTGGAACGTTTACAATCGTTCTATAATCGAACCAATTCGAATACAAATTCGAATTTAAAGCGGTTCAAACATTTTTAAAATCAAAATAGAAAATCTTCGAAGTCAACCATTTTAAGCCCCCATATCTCCCGCACCCTTATAACTATTGAGACGCAACCACCATAGTGCACGAATGGAGACTTGGGGCTACTACCACATACAAACACCATTTATGTGCGATGTGTAGTTTTGGCTGAAAAGTGAAATATAGGGACACACACGTTCATTTATATATATATATATATATATAAGAAAATGCTAGTTACCCACTCTGAGATGCACATAAAATATTTTCAAAGCAAGTTCAGAATTAAACATAAAACTATATGATAAATTCTATTATTAAAGTTAGCATACAAATCTATGCATATATTCCTTTATGTTTGTGTACAGTAATATTAAAAATCTATATTAACCAATATACTCACTGACTATTCAGTGAATGTGGCCAATTTAAAAATAGGCAGATGGTGCAATTATTAGGTGTTCAGACACCATGATGTGTGAACAGCCTAATAATTGCACCATCTGTATATTTTCAAAATATTTATTACTATTAATTTACTATGCATTATTTATGGTTATTTAATCGATATACGTATATATTATAAGATAAACATTATTTACATGAAGAACTATTATAAACTGCAACACAGTCAGGATCTCCTATTATATTTATAAGATCTTTCAAAAATAACAAATATTTTAAATAAAATATTTACAAATTTATCAATTATTATTCAATTTTATAAAGAAATATTTATATATAGTAGAACTTGGTTAAGATGTTCCCAAATTAGAAGTTTTTCCATGTAAGAAGTTTAATATCAAAAGAGTCAATTTTTTTCTCCATAAGAGATGTGTAAATTTTTTTGTTTAAGAAAATTTTTCACTTAAGTAGACAGAAATCCTCGTCTGTGACTGGAAAATGGATTTACTTAAGAAGTTTTTCAGCTGCATCCTATTAAAAATTTGGGATCATCCATAAATTATGTAACACTATTTTTGCATATTTGAACTGCAATTCCACACTCCTGTAGTGTTTCATAATGCTGTAGCACATATTTACACTCAAAATTATGTAATGAATAACCTTGATCAACTTCTTAAAGATTCACAGTTGATATTTGACAGCCAATCAAAAGCATACTTTTAACTTCAGAATGTTAAGTAGGCAGGAATCCAGCAAAATTAATTAAAAATCAGATAAGAAATAAATTATTAATTTAGTCTTTTTATTATTATAAAATTACAAATGTAGTTTAAAAAAACAAAATCATTTTTTACTTTCATGTTCATTTTTTGGTAAATTAGACAACAAAAATTATAACCAAATCCATCCAAGAAGTCATTGGTGACTTCTCAGAAGTATTGGGTTGTTCAGAAAGTAATTTTGTTTTTTTACCACTAGACGGATTAGTCGTATTTTTCCTACCATTTTCATTGTAAACCGTATTATCATTATATATTTTGACAGCTAGCATTTTCGGCATATTTTGCTCTTTTATTACCAAAAAGGTAAGAATGTTGTTCAAGCGAGAAAAAATTTGTGTGATGTGTATGGAGAAGATGTTTTGACAGAATGACAGTGCCAAAACTGGTTTACAAAATTTCATTCGTGCAATTTCAATATTGAAGATGCACCACGTTCTGGATGGCCAGTTGAAGCCAATGAAAACAAAATAAAGGTACTGATTGAAGCAAACTGCCAAATAACAACATGTGAAATCACTAAGAGATGAAATTTGTCAAATTGAACTGTTTATGATTATTTGAAACAAATTGGTTTCGTTTCAAAGCTTGATATATGGGTTCCACATGTTCTTAAAGAGGGATGCTCTCTTTGGTGGGATTTTAAGGAAATTTTTTTTGGAGCTTTTACCAGACAATTTAACAATTGCTTTGAAAGTGTACTGCCATTGAGTAAACAAATTGAGTAATATCATCAAACAGAAAAGGAGGCCAGCATTGATCAACAAAACAGGTGTAGTGTTTTACCACGATAATGTCAAATTTCACACAAGTTTGGTAACTCGTCAGAAACTGCCATAACTTAGATGGGATGTGCTATCACACCAACCATATTCGCCAGATCGAGCACACTCAGATTATTACTTGTTCCGGTCTATAAAAATTTTTTTTAACTGTAAGACATTTACTTGAAATGACAATGTCAAAAATCACTTGGATCACTTTTTTGTAAGCAACGATCAAAACTTTTATGAATGTGAAATCATGCTACTACCAGAAACGATGACAACAGGTATTTGACCAAAATGGTCGATATATAATTCAATAAAATATTTATTTATTATAAAAATATTGTGTTTTTTCCACAGAAAAAAAACGAACTTACTTTCTGAACAACCCAATAGTTGGTAAAAACTGCTAATATCTTAATCCCTATGTATTTAACAAACCATACCAACAATTTAAAGACCAGTAACATTACATGATGTTTTCATAAATACTTCAAATCCTTTGTAACATATTGTAATCATTACCAGCATATCCACCTCATATCTGCATGACATAATTTATGGATAACCCCTTTATACAATTAATTGCATATGAAAATAGAAAAACAATTATTGTAAGGATGTATGGCCTATGCTGGCATTGCTTGATATCTAATTCGCCAGGACATTAAACTCAGGAAGAGTCAAATGTAGTTTATACCTGTAGAAGGTATAAACCACATTTGTGGGTGCTGATGGATTTAGAATCGAAACACCTTTATAAATTTTTTCAATTATTGTTACAAAAAACTGTTGCTTACATTTAATCTTTCATCTTCTTCAGTATTCATCCCACAAAGATGTTCTTTGTGATTTGGAGTAATAATTTATAACTCCTTTATGAGTTCATATGATGCCTGACCTGGGCAAAATCATTGATGAGGTGGTCAGGATCACTTAGTCCAGAAATTTGTCAAATATCACTCTTTAGTGGAGGCATAAGATGTTGACTTCTGAGTTCCCAGTGACAAAGTCATGCACTTATTAAGTGCCACAAAAGGAGAAGGTACTTGAGGACAGATTGCTGCAGCATAGGATGGATTTGTGTTCTATGATTAGATCAAGAACTTGCTTGAAGAAAACATACTAAGTTGACTGACTGGTAGATGTTAGTGGATTACCAGAGACAGTGGATCGATGTGACATGAATAGGGATGAATGGATGGAGAAGTACAATTTTAGACAAATGATTGGTGAAGTGCACTTTGACCTTGAGATGCAGATTTATATAGAATCTTTCTGCAGTCCAACAGTTTAATTGGTCCTTTTTGTCTCCAGGTAGAACTAGACACAATCGAGGCATGAGAAAGGTTGAACCTCATTGTTAACTCAACACTATTTTGATCTTGGACAACAGGATATTTAAAGAAACCTTAAAGTTTTTGCTTGTATTTCTAAAAGTTTTGTTTTCTCTCTTATCAAAAATTTCTGACATATAGACAACAAGACAATAGACAATAAGACATCCTGCGATAATTATTTATTCATTGAAATATTTTATAGTACTTCAAGTTTGTTGTAATTTCATCCTACTTACAAACACCTAAGTCAAAGTTCATCTTTCCAGTCTGAGCTTTATATCTATTTTGTTTTCCTTCTATCTTCACGTGTTTATCTTATGAAATTCCTTTCCTTAGTGAAAAGCTTTTAAGCAAAATTTAGTGAGGAGTTTGGACCTCATCTGGAACCTCACATTATGTTAGGACATGGACAAAATTTTGTTTTACTCTGCATGCAACTTTGGATTCTGGATTTTACAAGTTTTTTTACATGGGTTATCTGCAACAATACTTGCAATAAGTAGCAAGCTCTGATAAGCACATGGATTATTGAAAAAAAAGCTGTATTCTTTGCATTTCTGCTTAAGAAGTTTTTTAAATTGGTCCCTTGAAAAATTTAAACTGAGTTCTACTGTATTTTGTTTTGAAATTATTATTAATTAAATTAAAAAAATATAAATTTTTTTGTTTAATTTTTAAATTTTATATCATTATTAACAGGTGAAAAAGCTCCTGAAGGAGAGGCACCTACATTTGTTGAAAAACCAAAAATCATTCCAGAAGATGATGGCAGAAGGATTATTATGGAATGCAAAGTTCGTGCAAAACCAAAACCTGATATTACTTGGTATCGAGAAGGTGTTGTTATAAAAGAATCAAAGCGTTTTGTACAAACTGTTAAAGAACAGAAAGATGTTTATACAATTCGTTTAGAATTAAGGGTAAGAATATATTAAGTCTACTATATTTCTTGCTAGCATAGTTGTGCTTCTTAATCTGATACTGATTGTCATTTATATCAGCAAGCAAAGATTTTATCAGAAGTGATCTAACCATTGTTGTTGTTTATATAAATTTCTGTTATGATATATTCAAATTAGAATGTTACATCTTTTTATTGGCAGTGAAAGCTTTGATTGTTGGAAAAAATGTATGGGTATGAATTCTTGGTCAAGCAATTCATACAATATGTAATGCATTACATTTGCATTGATTTTAATTAACAATGTTTATTTAGAAATAATTATAAAATAGGTATGATCAAGTGGAATTAATTACAGCTAATTTTATACAGAAAATTAATTTTATAATTTCAGTTTCATTTTTTTATTATAAAATGATCTATGAGTTTTATTCTTCTTAAGAGTGAGAATATGTTTGAGTAGTTTGAATGCCTAAAAAATTCATATGTATATAATTTTAATTTTTCTGTTTTTAGTGAATTGTAGAATCTATATTTTTTTCATCCATCTTTGCATAAAATATTTTATTTTCTTGTAATAAATTCATTCTTCTCTCAAACAATAGTTAAGCTTTTTGAAGACTAGTTTCAATGTTTTTACTTGGAATATTATCAAAACTTTTTAGAATACCAGATGATATAAGAAAATCAAATGTGGTCAGTTTTCTCAATTAATTTGCAACATTATATCAGATATCATATAAAATGCTTTTGACATGATTTCTGTTTTATTTATTTTATCAAAAGAAATACACTATATTAAACTTTTATAGATTTTACCAAACTAATTATTATATATTAACATACACAAGAAGATAATTATTTAAATTTACTTTTTGTTAAATATTGAAAAATGAATGTAAAATAATTAGAAATTCAAAAATAAATAGCAAATATAGTTAGAATAAGTGATATGTTAATATACAGGGTGATTACAAAAGAATACCCCAACTTTGCAAAACAACAAAACAACACATTTGTTTGTATATTTACAAAACAACAAAACTTACACATTTGTTTGACAAATCACATTGTAAAGTTTCATTTAGTTACCATAACTTCATAAATGTTCAATGTGACAACCATTAGAAACATGAATGATATCTAATCAGTAATCAAACTATTCCACACTGTTTGCAGTATGTCCAGTGTTACAATTTGGATGGCTGCAGTTATTGTTGTTTTGAATTCTCCAAAGTTAGCTGGCAGTGGTGGAACAAACATTTGATCCTTTATGTAACCCCATAAAAAAATCACAAGGGGTTAGATCAGGGCTTCAAGGGGGGCTAATGATGAAGAGCCTGGTTGTAAACTGCTCTGCAACCAATCCATCATTGCAGTAATGTTTCATTCAAGTATCTGCAAACAGATAAATGCCAATAGAGTGGTGCTCCATCATGTTGAAAAATGAATTTCCCAGTTTCTTGTAGCTGCGGAAATAATTAATTGATGAGCATATCCAAGTAAGAAATCCAGTAACATTGGCCTCATGAAAAAAGAATGGGTCAAAAACTTTGTCTTTGAATACAGCAAAAAACAAATTATCTTTGGAGGAATTATGCTCGTGTTTGATGATTTTGTGAGGATTTGCTAGATCCCATATCCATACATAGTGACAGTTAACTTGACTGGTATGAAAAGTTGCTTTATTGCTAAAAACAAGCTTAGACGAAAAGGAATTGTCTTCCTCAATCTGATTAAGAACAAAACTCACAAAAATCAATTTTTTTTTTATTTATCACTTTTGGTAAGAGCCTGTAAGGCTGTGTACACACTAGGCGTTTTGGAAACGCACGTTTTAATAAATGCACGTTAGATCGGCGTTCGACGAGCGTTTGTAGAGCATACGCACTGGCTCAGTTTGGAAATGGACATGAAAGTAATTGATTGCGTGTGCCTCCTCCATCGTCGCTATAAAAGACGATGGCAGAGGCAAAGAGAATTTTGGGTGCATTCAATATTACGAGATAGACTGACACATGGAATTTTTGCAACGTTGTATTCAAAACTAAGACAAAATAAACCCAAGTTTTTTAATTCTTTTAAAATATCTATAAAATCCTTTGACGATGGTTGGTCTCTTTTAGATTTTATCAATAAATAGATCAGTATCAAAATGATCGTTCTCCATTTCGGCCAATGTACGTCCACTCTACCCAAAAATGTGTGATTGAATGTACAGTAACATGGCAGCACATATATCTCAAAGCGCTCGGCTGACGCCCGCAAAACGCGCGTTTTAAGAAAAATCTATAAGTGCGTGTTTGAGTGTGTATGCCTATGTAGAACTCTTGGTTCTTTAAAACGTGTGTTTAAAAACGTCTAGTGTGTATGCAGCCTAATAAATGTAATCTGTACAGTTTGAAATGCAATTGTTTTCTCAACACTTTCCACACCATTGTTTGAGGAATTTGCAGTTCCTGGCTAGCTCATCAAGTTGATTTCTCAGACTGTGAGCAAACACTTGCTGACCCTGTTGCACATTCTCTTCAGATGCAATCAGCTAACCAGACCTTTTGCCTTTGCAAATGTTCCCTTTCTCACTAAACTGATAAAACCAAAGTAAGATACTCCATCTATCAGGAGGCTTAATTTGAATGAAAAGCACATTGAATAGTTGTAACCAATTCAGTTTTAGCAAACTCAATAACACAAAATGTCTTCTGTTGTGTGGTCACTATTTTGGCATGAACCAACACACTCATAATGTGATTAAGGACACTCATAGTGACATCTTTCCAAAATAACTGGAACTTTAGAACATTTCCTACTTAATGATTTGTGGAATGGTGCTATAAGTTCTTTGCTTGAAGAGATATAGCCTTTCAAAGTTGGGGTATTCTTTTGTAATCACTTTGTATTATTATATAATCTGATATCTAATGTAAACAACAAATGAAAGCTCAAAATCACAAATATTTTGTAAATGTATGTAAAATATTTCTAACATAAAATTTCTATGTAGAAAAATCAATTTGGTTAGTTTAAATTTAGAATTTATAATATAGTATTGTGTTTGGCCTATTGTTATCATTTATTCTAAATCTATAGTTATCAAAAGGTAAATAATGTCTTAAAAAAACTATAAAAGTTTTTGATGACTACTTTCAGAAATCTTATATGAAAATATCTAATTAAATTATCCTGCAATAAAATTCTTGTTTCAATTTATTATTGCTTTTATAACATTTTATTAACATATAAATATTTACTATAATAATATGAAATTGTTTAAAAAATAAGAACATGAGCTTTTCACATAGATGAACTATAAAAGCAATTCTGCTAAACTTGTTCTAGTAAGGTTTTGTTTTTGCTGAATTAAATTAATTTTTTTTTAATACATAGGATACAGAAGTAACTGATGCAGGATTATATAAATGCAATGCCAAGAATTCTGCAGGAGAAAGCAATGCAAACTTAACCTTAAATATTGAATGTAAGTTAATTTTGAATTGTATCTTTATTTTTACAATATATTTTAAAAATGCTTATTTTAACCATATTATTATTATTTTATTAATTTTATTAATTACTGTGTAGGATTTTGTTTCATAAAACAAAATTTTCATAATAATTTATTATCATTATTATTATGAGTTTTACTATTATATATAAAATCATAATTTAAAAAAATATATATTTGTTTTCAATTTTAGTGGCTCCAGTTATTAAAGAAAAACCAAAGATTATTACAAGAGAAATTCATAAGAAAATTGTTATTGAATGTTATGTTCAGTCTGGAGCAGCTCCAAAATGTGTGTGGCAACGTGACACTACTATTATTAAAGAAGATTCTCGTCATATTGTTAATGTTCGACAAGTTTCAATTGGACAATTTGCAATCAGTTTAGAAATTGAGAAACCAGTTGGAGCAGATAAAGGAAATTATAAATTAACAGCAAAGAATGAAAAAGGAGAGGTTACTTCTCAATCTATCCAAGTTGATGTTGAAGGTATGTTTCATTATTTATGATATCATTTGTTTCCAAGTTAATATTTTTTTTACATAACTATTTCTTTTAGATGAACCAGAAAAAAAGAAAGAACCAGAAAAGTAAGTTATATTATTTTAAATACTTTTTTTAATATTTTAGTTTATTATGGAATTCTCACAGACCTTATTTTACAAATCATTACAGAAATAGCACATAACTGCTTTTTAAACTAAAATATTTAATATTAAAAAAATAATTTATGTTTTATTTTTAATAATTAAATTTCAATACTAATAGTAAAAGAATTTAATTAACTTTTCCTTATAAATAAGTTTTTACTAAAGATTAATTATCTGAATTGATTTCCATAGTAAATAGGAATCAAACTAAAAAGTTTGTTATGCATCCTTATAAATTACAATTTTAGAAGTTTAGTTTCCTTAAATAATGCAATTCTGCTGAAGAAAAATTGACATTAAGAAAGAAAAAAATCAAATTATTGATCTTAATAGAATACAATACTAGATGCATAGAGCATGAAATGATCTCTCAGCTTAAATGATAAGATGCAAATATTTCTGTTATAATTGAACATTTTTTTGATTTTCTGAGAAGAATGTCAAGCTAAAAATATTGCTATGTATTTTTATTGTAGATGAAAAATGGAACAAAATGCATGAATTAATAATCTTCAAAATAATATATTAAGAAATATAAAACAATAAAAGGATTATAAGTAAAATAATTATAAAGAATATAAGTATTGTACTTAGGTAAAGGTTTATAACTAAAATATTTGATCAACAGATATACACAGAAATTATTCTGTGTATCTTCATTTGCACTTATTTACAACTAGCTGCAAGGACCTGCTTTGCTGGGCAAAAAGTAATGATAGTGAAGATTAAGATAATTACATTATAGCCAGGGGCGGACTGGCCCTAAAATTTTTGTGTGGAAAATTTATTCCCAGCCCAGCCCAGCCCACAAAGAAAAAAAAAATGTATTTTTTCTATTTATATTTAAATATATTCAAAATACAACATTGACAAAATTACAATAAGCACAAGTCTATATTCTACAATATTAATTTTTTATTTAGAAGTTTGCTTTGTTGAGCAATAATATTAATGACATCATCAGAATGTATTTCGTTTAAAAAATCCTTCTCCACTGACATTAACACGAAGGCTTCTAGATTTTCTTGCGAGATACTTATAAGTATCTTAGCCTGCTTTTAATTAATTTTAACATAGAAAAGCTTTGTTCACCGGACACTTGTGTTACAGACATAGATAGCAGATATTTGTATGCTTGACCAAGTATAGAATAAGCGCCACTTAACATGTTATATCTGAATAATATATTATAACAACAAATAGAGCAATTTTTGCAAGCAATGCAGTAAGAGGATAAAATCGCATCTTTATTAGTTTCTACTTGATCATCAGTAGAATGTTCATTTTCGTTTAATTTTATAAAAGTTTCATTGACATTTTCCTTTAAAATATTCCATGACGATTTAAAATGTTGCAATTCTGAAATAATATTGTGTTGAGTAGCTACTGGATTAAACTGTATTAAAATACTGCTTAATTTTTGAAATGCGTTTTCAGGAATATTTAGTGACGGTCCCGTAAATTTTGGTCTAATGTGCTTTGAACTCGCTGTAAGATGACAGTCGAACTCTCCCCGGTTGCTCTCTCTCCCACCTTCCCTGATCTAGATCGAGGACGTGTGAATTTGGTCCGGGAATGCGACAATTAAATCGTCTTACACTCGTTCCTGTTTACGAAATAAATCATCGATTTATTAGCTTTAGCTCGACAACCAGTTTCCCATTGGAGAGGGGGTGAGGTCCCGGCCTCACACTACAAAATAGATTATTTTTAATTAAATCGTTTGGAATACAGAGAAATTATTATTGAATAACATTTTTTACTTGCCTAAAATAAAGGAAATAATATAAGTGGCCATTAAATTTGTTATGACTACAATCATTGCTTTGGTGGCTAGGTACAAAACTAATAACTTGCATTTCTATAGTTTAGCATTAAGATTCATAGGAGTGGTGAACAGTTTCTAGCAATGTAAACAAATGACCAATTTTCTCTGTTTAGAAGGTAGTTTTGATTATTTTTCTCCTAGGATGCTTTCTGTTTGGGCCGAATCGGGCTAATGTAGTGTTTGACTCAGATCGGCCGAACTAATTTAACTTCGGATACGGGTAGGGCCGGGTAAAATGATACAGGCCTACACATATACCTATATTATACCTAAAAATTGAAATTTACCTTACTTAACAAAAAAAAAATAAATGAATTTTTTAAAATTAAACTTAACCAAACGGTACGTTATGTACATATTTAGAAAAAAACGGCCCAAATTGTATACGGCCCATGTGGAATTTTCCACATTTTCCACATGGCCAGTCTGCCCCTGATTATAGCCAATCTTACCCGTTTTCACAGAATGCAAGAATTAGGTCCCCTGTTTCCAGACTAATTAGAGAATTTTTACTTCCAGTCAAACGAACTATTTTCAATTTGATCAATTTTCTGGAACGTTTACAATCGTTCTATAATCGAACCAATTCGAATACAAATTCGAATTTAAAGCGGTTCAAACATTTTTAAAATCAAAATAGAAAATCTTCGAAGTCAACCATTTTAAGCCCCCATATCTCCCGCACCCTTATAACTATTGAGACGCAACCACCATAGTGCACGAATGGAGACTTGGGGCTACTACCACATACAAACACCATTTATGTGCGATGTGTAGTTTTGGCTGAAAAGTGAAATATAGGGACACACACGTTCATTTATATATATATATATATATATAAGAAAATGCTAGTTACCCACTCTGAGATGCACATAAAATATTTTCAAAGCAAGTTCAGAATTAAACATAAAACTATATGATAAATTCTATTATTAAAGTTAGCATACAAATCTATGCATATATTCCTTTATGTTTGTGTACAGTAATATTAAAAATCTATATTAACCAATATACTCACTGACTATTCAGTGAATGTGGCCAATTTAAAAATAGGCAGATGGTGCAATTATTAGGTGTTCAGACACCATGATGTGTGAACAGCCTAATAATTGCACCATCTGTATATTTTCAAAATATTTATTACTATTAATTTACTATGCATTATTTATGGTTATTTAATCGATATACGTATATATTATAAGATAAACATTATTTACATGAAGAACTATTATAAACTGCAACACAGTCAGGATCTCCTATTATATTTATAAGATCTTTCAAAAATAACAAATATTTTAAATAAAATATTTACAAATTTATCAATTATTATTCAATTTTATAAAGAAATATTTCTTACTGTGTTCAGAAATTGTGATTTATTTAATAATTTGTATTGAAAGTATATACATTATTCTAAATAGGTAATAGCTTCATTATAATACTACTAATATTTGTATGAATATAATACTATTAATTTCTGTATTAAATATTTCTGAAATATATCTTTTGAAATAATAGTTACATTAATACAATATAATTCTTTTGGAGTTAAACTATTTTAAAATATTTTTTCATTAAAATATCTCCAAAGTCAGAAATCTATATTGGGATAGCCAGGTAGATATGTTATAAAGGTATTTACTTTAATGAACATCAGTAATAGCTGGGATAATAGTATTTGCTTAAATATGTACATATTTAAAAATAAAGTGAAAAAGAAAATAGATGATTTGGCAATGTAATACAATACTGTGTTGTTACAATTGTATTTTTGAGTTTTAGTCATATTAGGCTTGTTTGTTTCAAGAACATTAATGTGATAGGCAGGGGTGGCTCAATGGTAATTTGCAACTGTGGTAAAACTGATTTTTGTTATCCCTGCTTCCAGAATAGTTGCCAATAGAAAACCCCTCTAAACAGAATGTGGGAAACTCAAAGTGATAAGCTGGGAAGTTTTGCCTGGGCCTGGAATAAACTTAGGGGTTTGTAGTGGTGGGTCTATTCCTATAAAAGAATGCTATTTTTAATAAGAGTTTTATTTATTAATAAAGAAACATCCTCTATATTTATTTGTTCGTGAAAAAAAGCAAAAGGGTCCCGTACCAAGCTTTTGATGGTCCTGTAAACTTAACACTGACACTTTTGTATGAACTGTTTATAAACAACTTTAAAGTACATTTACTGAATTTCACTGAACTAGGCTTATTATTTTTATTTATTTTTTCTCCTTTTGAACACTTTGCCACTTGAGGGGCAGTTGCCTTATCTCACACATTAATCAGGTTTCGGTGATGTGATCTAACAAATCATAATCATTCTAAGATGTTATCATTTTTGCAAAAGTAGTAATGTTATTTATTTATTTTTGAATGATTGAATTTCCTGCATGAGCTACATTACTGGTATTTAGGAACTGTATGTAGCTTATGATCTGTACTTTTGCTTAAAGTCCATAACCAATGATCTTGCAGATGAAATATCATTATTTGTTATTCAATTCAGAAAACGAAAATATCTGTAAATTCAAAAATCTTTAAAACTTTATTTAGAGATCAACACTCAATAAAAAAATTATATATTTTTAAGGACAATTTTTGATAATTATCATCAGTAAGCATTTTTTTTTTGAAAATGTAAATAAATTAAATTGTCTAATTATTTTTAAAAGACAATATATATTATAAAAAAGTTAATAAATATAATTAAGTTAAAAAAATGAAATTTTTTAGTGATATATATTATATATGAAGTAATTTTATTGTTTTTTAGATATAAAAGAATTGTAAAACATACAACTCACCAACCAATTAGCCAGTGTGAATAATGTTTAAGTGATGAACGTTAATTACTCCTTCTGGGCACTTCTTAATCTTAATTCTTAACAATCTTAATTCAAATAGGCTGGCCATTGACATTCGAATATAAATTGAATGGTACAGATTTCAAATATGGTATGTGCATGCGTTTTCCATAAGATGTTTAAAAAATGTCAAACATTATGTTGAGTTGGAATGCAGAGAACTTCTGCGCATGCATTCGCCTCAAAATATGATTGAAAATTAAATGTCGTTGTCAAGTTATTCACACCGGTTAATTGGTTGGTGAGTCATACTTTTTATATACATCTCAGTGTTGTGCAGTTAAATGTAAAAGAATTGTTTTTAAGGCATGAATTATAGTTATAATTAATTACTGAAATGCTGTTTCATATTTTAAATTTATAGAAAACCAAAAGGAGAAAAACCAAAAGTTGTACAAGGTTTGAAATCTATAGTAAGTATTTACTAACAGTTCCTTTTATTTCCTCTTATAAATTTTGAATTTTAAATGACTCAAAACTCAATTTGTCAGAAATAATAATTTATCAGTAAAGTTTTTAAAATAATCATTGGTACATATATTAAGTATAACCTTGAACATAATATAAAGCTAGAAATAATTCACTAAAGTAATTGAATGTTTAAAAGATTATCTAAATGCCTGAGATTTCTACTTTAAATGTGAAAACTATTTCCTTAGAATTCCTAAAATTTATATTTATTTGAATGCAGTTTTGTACTAAACAATAAAAGTGTTGAATTAAATAATGACAGAAATAAGCAGCATATAAATATGCATGCTATTGTTTCTGATCTTTTTTTCCATTAAATTATTTTAAAAGTTATAATCAATCTTTTTAAAATACAGTATGACCTGTCTAAAACAGAACCTGAATAAAATGGAAATTTGCCAAAATATAAAAAATAATTTTGTACCATGAGATTTCAGTATACACAGGTTTTACTGTATTAAAAATTTAATCATTTTAATTGATAAAATATAAAGAAATATTTTGTAAATGACAATGAATTGCTATTTTTCTTACCATTGTAATAATTTGCGTTTTTCATGAACTATAGAGGGCGCTGCATTTTTACAAAATGGCTACTTTATCTGGATCGCTTGTAATTAGTAATGTAAAATTAATCATATATTACTGTCCGATATAATGATATATGCTGCCTGTAGCTGTTTATTGAGAAATTTTATAGAAGGAGAACAATTATTGTTAGCGGGACACATCATTATGTGGTATCGAAACAAATGAGTGAGATTGTTTTATACATATTTGTGCCCTTTGTGTTAAAAAAACATCAGCTTTGACATTGTCCCATCAGGGCCGGATTTACAAGTAAAAAGCCTCGACTTTCAAGGGACCTCAAACATTTGTACAAAAAAGAAAATTGAAGTCAGATTNCGATTGAATGTACAGTAACATGGCAGCACATATATCTCAAAGCGCTCGGCTGACGCCCGCAAAACGCGCGTTTTAAGAAAAATCTATAAGTGCGTGTTTGAGTGTGTATGCCTATGTAGAACTCTTGGTTCTTTAAAACGTGTGTTTAAAAACGTCTAGTGTGTATGCAGCCTAATAAATGTAATCTGTACAGTTTGAAATGCAATTGTTTTCTCAACACTTTCCACACCATTGTTTGAGGAATTTGCAGTTCCTGGCTAGCTCATCAAGTTGATTTCTCAGACTGTGAGCAAACACTTGCTGACCCTGTTGCACATTCTCTTCAGATGCAATCAGCTAACCAGACCTTTTGCCTTTGCAAATGTTCCCTTTCTCACTAAACTGATAAAACCAAAGTAAGATACTCCATCTATCAGGAGGCTTAATTTGAATGAAAAGCACATTGAATAGTTGTAACCAATTCAGTTTTAGCAAACTCAATAACACAAAATGTCTTCTGTTGTGTGGTCACTATTTTGGCATGAACCAACACACTCATAATGTGATTAAGGACACTCATAGTGACATCTTTCCAAAATAACTGGAACTTTAGAACATTTCCTACTTAATGATTTGTGGAATGGTGCTATAAGTTCTTTGCTTGAAGAGATATAGCCTTTCAAAGTTGGGGTATTCTTTTGTAATCACTTTGTATTATTATATAATCTGATATCTAATGTAAACAACAAATGAAAGCTCAAAATCACAAATATTTTGTAAATGTATGTAAAATATTTCTAACATAAAATTTCTATGTAGAAAAATCAATTTGGTTAGTTTAAATTTAGAATTTATAATATAGTATTGTGTTTGGCCTATTGTTATCATTTATTCTAAATCTATAGTTATCAAAAGGTAAATAATGTCTTAAAAAAACTATAAAAGTTTTTGATGACTACTTTCAGAAATCTTATATGAAAATATCTAATTAAATTATCCTGCAATAAAATTCTTGTTTCAATTTATTATTGCTTTTATAACATTTTATTAACATATAAATATTTACTATAATAATATGAAATTGTTTAAAAAATAAGAACATGAGCTTTTCACATAGATGAACTATAAAAGCAATTCTGCTAAACTTGTTCTAGTAAGGTTTTGTTTTTGCTGAATTAAATTAATTTTTTTTTAATACATAGGATACAGAAGTAACTGATGCAGGATTATATAAATGCAATGCCAAGAATTCTGCAGGAGAAAGCAATGCAAACTTAACCTTAAATATTGAATGTAAGTTAATTTTGAATTGTATCTTTATTTTTACAATATATTTTAAAAATGCTTATTTTAACCATATTATTATTATTTTATTAATTTTATTAATTACTGTGTAGGATTTTGTTTCATAAAACAAAATTTTCATAATAATTTATTATCATTATTATTATGAGTTTTACTATTATATATAAAATCATAATTTAAAAAAATATATATTTGTTTTCAATTTTAGTGGCTCCAGTTATTAAAGAAAAACCAAAGATTATTACAAGAGAAATTCATAAGAAAATTGTTATTGAATGTTATGTTCAGTCTGGAGCAGCTCCAAAATGTGTGTGGCAACGTGACACTACTATTATTAAAGAAGATTCTCGTCATATTGTTAATGTTCGACAAGTTTCAATTGGACAATTTGCAATCAGTTTAGAAATTGAGAAACCAGTTGGAGCAGATAAAGGAAATTATAAATTAACAGCAAAGAATGAAAAAGGAGAGGTTACTTCTCAATCTATCCAAGTTGATGTTGAAGGTATGTTTCATTATTTATGATATCATTTGTTTCCAAGTTAATATTTTTTTTACATAACTATTTCTTTTAGATGAACCAGAAAAAAAGAAAGAACCAGAAAAGTAAGTTATATTATTTTAAATACTTTTTTTAATATTTTAGTTTATTATGGAATTCTCACAGACCTTATTTTACAAATCATTACAGAAATAGCACATAACTGCTTTTTAAACTAAAATATTTAATATTAAAAAAATAATTTATGTTTTATTTTTAATAATTAAATTTCAATACTAATAGTAAAAGAATTTAATTAACTTTTCCTTATAAATAAGTTTTTACTAAAGATTAATTATCTGAATTGATTTCCATAGTAAATAGGAATCAAACTAAAAAGTTTGTTATGCATCCTTATAAATTACAATTTTAGAAGTTTAGTTTCCTTAAATAATGCAATTCTGCTGAAGAAAAATTGACATTAAGAAAGAAAAAAATCAAATTATTGATCTTAATAGAATACAATACTAGATGCATAGAGCATGAAATGATCTCTCAGCTTAAATGATAAGATGCAAATATTTCTGTTATAATTGAACATTTTTTTGATTTTCTGAGAAGAATGTCAAGCTGTAAAAATATTGCTATGTATTTTTATTGTAGATGAAAAATGGAACAAAATGCATGAATTAATAATCTTCAAAATAATATATTAAGAAATATAAAACAATAAAAGGATTATAAGTAAAATAATTATAAAGAATATAAGTATTGTACTTAGGTAAAGGTTTATAACTAAAATATTTGATCAACAGATATACACAGAAATTATTCTGTGTATCTTCATTTGCACTTATTTACAACTAGCTGCAAGGACCTGCTTTGCTGGGCAAAAAGTAATGATAGTGAAGATTAAGATAATTACATTATAGCCAGGGGCGGACTGGCCCTAAAATTTTTGTGTGGAAAATTTATTCCCAGCCCAGCCCAGCCCACAAAGAAAAAAAAAATGTATTTTTTCTATTTATATTTAAATATATTCAAAATACAACATTGACAAAATTACAATAAGCACAAGTCTATATTCTACAATATTAATTTTTTATTTAGAAGTTTGCTTTGTTGAGCAATAATATTAATGACATCATCAGAATGTATTTCGTTTAAAAAATCCTTCTCCACTGACATTAACACGAAGGCTTCTAGATTTTCTTGCGAGATACTTATAAGTATCTTAGCCTGCTTTTAATTAATTTTAACATAGAAAAGCTTTGTTCACCGGACACTTGTGTTACAGACATAGATAGCAGATATTTGTATGCTTGACCAAGTATAGAATAAGCGC